TAACAACAACAGAAACCCCTACCTCACATCTGGCATGAATCCCGACATCGCTGCTATCACTCATAGCCACTGAGGCAGCACCATTCAAACTTGACGGCGGCGATGAGCTACTTCGATCGTCTTTTGGTAGCATCTGATTTTGAAATTGTACCAGCATTTTCGTCTCTTCTTCGTCAGCTACACAGAAAATTCCACGGATTACTTGATTTATGTTAAGAGGGCAAAGGTGGGAGGGCGGAGGGAAAAAAACGGTAGTTAAAGGCATAAAAAAATTTAGCTAGAGGAAAGTAAGATCTGGCTGAAAAAAAAAACACTAATAGAAGTTTCAAAGAGTATCTGGCATTAAAAAACCATTGCTATTAAGCAAAAGCAATGCAAAAACGGGGATGCGCACAAGAAACGAAGCGATCAGAGAAATTGGTCACGCTACGAATTAAGATGAAGCTCGAGCTAAGCAGCGCTCTGGACTGTTGCTGGAAGAGTAATCGATTTAAAAAAAAAATGCACGTACGTGGTGTTTCTGAGAAATATTTACAAAGAAAGATTTCAAGGTTGGTGCCGGGATCCAGTACTTCAACGTTCACGTCTGCCGCTATTTCAGAGTGCTTCAATGTTATATGAAGGCGCACCTTCCACTGAAAAAAAAGCGATTGGAGGATAAGGATAAACAGACTGTACAAGGGCAAAATGACTGCCATAGTTGATTCCTTTCACAAAAAATGTTGCACATTAGGATGCCGGTGTCGGCACAGATTTTTGCGATAATCCGCTTCAGGTGTCCAATTTGCGAATAAGCCAAAAAAAAAAACGAAAAAAAAAAATCCCCAAAATAACATCATAATTTGACAAATTAAAAGCATCAAATTCGGGTTCATGGCTTATTTTCTCCTGCACGTATAATCACAGGGAAGGAATGTTTGAAGGTGAGTTCAAGCTTTTTCAACACTTCGAGTTTCCAGTCCTAACATTTCTGAAATTAAAAAATCGGTCCAACTTTGGCTACGAGATTATAACTCAGGATGCCGCAAATCTTGGTATTTCATTTCGGAAAATTTACTTCGAATGAATTTTTGAAAAATTACAGCTTGTAATTTTCCT